GTACGTACGTGAGAGAGAGAGAGTAGTACGTAGTACGTAGTAGAGAGAGAGTAGTACGTACGTCGTACGTACGGTAGTACGGTACGTACGTAGTAGTAGAGAGAGAGAGAGAGAGAGAGAGAGAGAGAGACAAAGATCTCTTGAAGTCGATGCTTACTGGGTGAGATCTTGTAGAGAGAGAAATTTGATATTTGGGGTGGTCAGGGCAGACAGAGATGGAAAATGTGAAGATGTAAGGCGAAGAAGTCTGAAACCATGACGGATTTTGCCGCCGCGTAAATTGGGGAAATGGCTTTTATGGGCGCAAGTGGAGTGCGATCTCCAGGCCGCTTTTTAACAGGAACTATGGGAAATAAATGGCATCTGAGTGGGACTTAATATCGAAGGTGTCCCCTTTGTAAAATATCCTTCGCTGACGGTATCACACGCGTTTGCGATCACTCCGGGTGTTCAACTGTCGTTTTCAGGTGCGGGAGGACTGAGAGAACAAACAGATCTCTCTCTCTCTCTCTAAGTTGTAGGCATCTGATATTTGTACAAGGCACGCTACTTTTGTCCATGAGGCCTCCTTTTTAATGTTTCGACGATATTTCTGCTTCTCACACACCGACACTGTTCTACAATTCTAAACAATCCTTGAAATTTGCCTTTCTTCTGGCTTACCCTACTTAATTTCAAACGTCTTGAATCGCCGAGTTTTAGTCTCTATTCTGTGATTTATTTCTTAGATGTAGCCCAGTCCAGTTCGTTCTACTTCGAGAATTGCCTGTACAATGGGTTTATTCAGCGTTAAAAAAAGACAAACCGGCCAAGGCTCGGGCAGATAGCAGCCGATCTAAAAAGGCATTAAAAAATACAAAAAAAGTCCAACTAATGTGAAAAGTATATTTAAAGCATGATTAAATAAAGTATATTCAAATGTACTTGAAAAGTAGTGAAAAAATAGGTTTTAAAAAATCCATTGGTGCCCAAAGGTATTTTTGATTTTTTCTAAAAGATGGAAATATGTAAAAATAAATATTCATACAAAAAACACTTTCTAATTTTGCCAAAATGTAAAAAACGCATTACAAACAAATCTTTAATTTTTTTAAATTTTGTATTTTTTTATTTTTTATTTTAAAATATTTTGATGGACCACCAAAACCGGATCGACCAATGCCCCACTGCGGTTTGACCGGCTTGTTCCTAGTTGAGCCAACCGAGTTTGCAAACACCAAACCAAAAAATCAACTCCGAGCCGGAATCAATTTTATGAATACTGCTTTCAAGAGCATAAATTTGACAAAGGAACACCATTCGCTATCGAATTCTCTCTCTCTCTCTTCTATATTAACACACCTCAGCTATCGAATTAACTCACTCTCTCTGTTTCTCTATCCATCCAGTTTCTATCAATATCTGGTTTTTCATGCATAAATGCGTCTCGTGTTCTTCCAAGTCTGAATCTCATTGACCCATGGCACAGCCCCATTAATCATAAAGAGAATGGCTCTCTGCTTTTTGTAGCCTAAAAAGCGTGACCGTCGATCTGGATTTACATATATTATGCTCCCTTGGAGTATACTATACATTGCTCCCTTGAGCAGAATATTTATGTGGGAGTTTTTTTTATTTCGAATTTCAGGACCTATTTTAATTATAACTGCATAATTATTTTAAAAGAATTGAACTTTAAATTATTGAATATCATTCTTTTTAAAAATTAGATGGTTTGGGATGCTTTTTTTTTTTTAAATGCAAATAGAAGGTGAAAGTTAATTATGATTATTGTAAAAAGAATTGGATTTTGAATTCTTGAAGATCATCCTCCAAAACTTGGATGGTTCTAGTGTAATTTTGGCATGCCATTTTTAGGAACATAGAAGGTGAAAGTTTTTTATTTTTATTTGCTCATTGCCATTCTAGAGGTCATATCCCCAAATTTTGAGATCTAAAAAAAATATACCTAATCCAAGTTTGGCATATATGAGTAAATAGATAGTGTACTCCCGCGGGTGTAAGAAATGTTTTGACTTTATGGCTTTCATATTTTCCACACGTTTCAAGGAGGGAAGATTAATTGGTTAGGAATTCAATGGAATATTACTCATTTCGAAAATATAAATGTCAAGGGTATTTTGGGCACTTCCTTGAAAGTACAGGCTATTTCGTATATTTCGATTCTAGGACGGGGGTAGTTTGGCAAATGTGTTCGCATTTGTTAATTCGGGTCATACGTGGTTTAATTTCACCTTTTCCTCGGTTAGTTTATGCATTTTTGTGATGCAATTAGCTATGCTCTAAAGGCATTGACCTTATGCTTTTATTTTTAATTTTTTAATAATTAAAGTATTTTAAATAAACTTTTTCCATTTTAATTGTCTTCTTTTTAATTTTTCCTCTCTCTATACATATTCACTCCATGCTCTTATTTCCCTGCCCCTTCTCTCTCTTGAGCACTCTTGACTTCTGTCTCTCCCTTTCTCATTGCCTCATTCTCTTTCTCTCTCTAGCTTTCTCTGAAGCTGTATTGGATCTAAAAGTGGTTTTGCAGGCGCCGGATGCCGGTCTTGTTGCAGAGGAAAAGTGGGTTTTGATCTACAGTCTCATCAAAATCTGGTATTGGCATTAGCGAAAGGCAGTTTCCAATCTCAAGCTCAAATCCTTTCTCTCTCTAAAATTTACCAGAAAATCCTTTGGCCTCAAGCATTCTTCCGGTTTGTTAGCTCTGTGAGTCTGGATAAGTCCGTCATTATTCCTTAAGAAAACCTTTACAAAAGCCCTGCAAGCATCTAATTTTGCTTCTCATTAGCCTGGAATCCAGAAAAAAAAAACCAAAAAAAAGAAGTATTTGTCAAAAATATTTCCATAATATCACTAGCATTTGTAGATAGTTAACCTGGCTTGGGTCATTCTCTCTCTTCCGTAGAAAAAACTTTATAAAAACCATCAAATCATGTAATTTTCGGTTTCATTCCCACCCCACAAAACAAAAAAAACTAATTTTTTTTTTTCTTCAAATCTTATTTATTGCAAGTTGTAAACTTTAAAATTGTAGAAGGGCTGGCTAGAGTTCAATCATCAGTGTAGAAAAGCCTTTAGAAAAGCCTGGAAATCATGTAACTTGTTCTTCTTCTTCTTTCCGTTAAACCCCATAAAAAAAAAAACCAAAAAAAGAGAGTGAAAATCACAAAAAAAAGAAAAAAAGAAAATAAGCTCTTCTTTCAGTTTTTTTAGTAGTTAGAAGAAAAGAAACAAAAAAAAAAAACCGATGCCTGAGTCGGAGAACGTGACACCGGCCGTGTCGGCACCGGCGACACCGGGTACGCCGGGGGCGCCGCTGTTCTCGTCAGTGAGGATCGACTCTCTCTCCTACGAGCGCAAGCATTGTGGGCCAACCTGCTTCCACGACTTCCCCAAGCCCGATGTCTCTCTCACCCGCAAGGTTAGTTACTTATCTCTCTTTCTCTCTCTAGATTAACCCTCTCTTTCTCTCTCTCTCTCTCTAGATTACCCTCTCTCTCTACTCAGTTGACTTAATGCTATACGAGCCTCTCACTCTTCTATCTTCACCTCAGTACTGGTCGCCCTTTTTGGTCTTGAGTGCGTGTACTATTTCTCTGCAGGAGCATACTATAGATGCACTTCCTCAGTCAAATGAGGAGGGTTTATGTAGTATGAAATTGAAAACAATTAAAGAATCACTAGATTACATTCAAAAGAAAAAAAAAAAATAGATTTTTTAGTTTTTTTGATATTTAGATCTCGCCTTTCAAAAATTTATCGATTCTATCAATTTTGTATTTTAGGACAAAGAGTTGAATTATGAGACTGTTTTTATCAATTTTGTTTTTTTAGTAGACAAATTATGAGACTGCTTTTTTGTGAGGTCAAGTCTATAGGTGAAGAGAACACATCCACAAAATTTGAGATCCTACAATTAGAGTTATGTGGGGTCCTATCCGAAGGAGTAAATATCTATAAAATCTGTTGGCTTCAGTTTTTAATATTTGCTGCTTGATGTTACTGTCCCGAAGGCCAAAATTCACAGGGTCTTTCCCTCTCTAAAATTCGTGCTGCACTGTCACTTTCTCTCTCTAATTCGGGCTTGGGCTGATTGCTTGAGGTAGTGATAATCGCAAAACGGCCCGAGTTCTAATTCTATACGTTAACTATAAAAAGATTTTCTCCCTCAACGTAGGAGTATATACTTACTATAACAACGCCTCTCTCTCTCTACCCATGATTGAAAATCCCGCCTAGAAGTGGCTACTTTGTCGAGTTACTCGGGGCGGGCTTGGGCCCTGATGAGCCTGAATTTGGGTGTTCAACTTAAGGATATTAAAAAATTCAAAAGAATAATATATAATTCTTAACGATAAGAAATTTTCCGAGAATAGGTTTTCATTCCCATTGAAACATTTGAAAGCAACTAATTATTTTTAAAAATGGGTAGGGCCCATATTCCCAACTGATCTACCCAAAAAAGCTGTAATCCCCACCCAAAAAAAAAACCAATAATAAATATTTTTGGGATACATCTTCAATTGTATTTTTTTATCGTTTTGGCAAAAATTGGAAAGTATTTTGACTATAAATACTTATTTTTATATTTTCTCATTTTTTTAATTATTTAAAAAATACCCCAATTAGAAGTTTATTTTTTTAAATCTATTTTATTTCTACTTTTTTTAACATCATTTTGAAGTGTTTTGCTTATCTTACTTTGAATATGTATTTCGTAATTTTTTTGGATTTTTTTAAATTTTTATTTTATTAACCTATTTTTTATTGCTACAGTACTCAAACTAATAAGTCAGTTACTTGGATTCGGTCCGAGTAATGGACTCGACATTGTACTGATTACTCGGTCCGAGTCACAATTTCTAATACTGCTCTCTACGTATTACATGTGCGTGCCTTTGTATGTGAGGGGGTATACGTGCCTCTCTCCTCCATAATTGACTTAAAAAATCTCTAGTCTATAATTTTTGACAAAAAAACAAACCTTTACAGATACTATTATTCCTAGCTGGGAAATTTATCATAGTACATGTTGGTTGAATATTATGCATTTGTAACTATTTGAAGTACCTATTGATGGATATTTTGAAATAAAATCTAAATTATATGGGTAAAGTATTAAACAATTTCTCTCTCATAAGTATTTTGATAAGTTTTCGGTAAGGACGTGTATGCTCCATGCATATGTTTCGTATCATGCACATTTTATTTGAACGTAAAGCTTTTTGCATTTCATTCCATACACGTTATGTGTGTTTGCTAATTGTGTGTATGATTTTCATAAGATGAGATGGAATAGCACCTACGTGATGCAGATGTTTTTCAATGGTCCATATTGAACTTACTACCATCCAATAGCCCAAAAAGCGTTTCGTATTTTATTTTTTGTTTCTTTTTAAAATAATATTTATCTAAAAAAGTTGAGATATAGATGAATTTTATGTGATGCATAAAATAAAAATATTTTTAATACAAAGTTGACCAAAATACCCCTTAAACAATCTAAAAAGTATTTGGGTCAACTATTGATGTGAAACATATTTTTTGTTTTTATTGGGGATGAGGTTTTTATAAAGCATAGGTTTTATGAACACAAAATAAAACCTCATCTCAAATCCTCATATGAAAAGCACTTTCGGCAACAAAAAACTCCATAATGGCTTTAAAATTAATTTCAACACCGACAATAAAATTTGAAACTCAATAAATGACACAGATCTTGCGGATTTATGAGCACTTGTTTTTAAGATGAAACACATGGTCTAGATAATTTGTTACAATATGTATTATTTTTAGAGTTTGAAAATTTTATTTATTTATTTCATAACTGTTTAAGCCAAAATGATTGATGTAAAGTTTTTTTGAATTGTTATTTTCGATGAATTATGAGGTGACGATTTATTTAATTTATTATTTTATTTTTATTTTATAATCTTATAAAAATACATCTATTTCTAAATTTTAAATAAATATTATTTTAAATAAAAATAAAAAATAATTTCTAAATTTTAAATAAACATTATTTTAAATAAAAATAAAAAATAAAAAATAGTCATTGGATGTGGACATATTTAACATGATGTCCTGAACCATTGAAAAGGGTGCCTTCTACGTTCCCTATCATGAAGTTTGTTTATGTAAATTAAGCTTTAGATAATCCGGGCTCATTTAATGCATTGACTCGAGTGCTCAATAATAACTTTTATAGTGACTTCTAGTGCATATTTTTCACTTTTCTTTGACATCTTTCTATAAAGCAAATTTATTATACAAATAGATAATTTTCATTAATGTTTACGCTAAATGGTAGTAGTTTGTCCTTTAATAGAGAACTTCAATTTTGTCCCTAATGCGTAACATATATGTACGGTTGAAAAGCCGACTTCAATTTAATATAGAAGGCAAGGATATTTACGGATAAGGTTTGTATCAGGGCATAGCTTTATGAAAACAAAATATATGAAAACAAAATAAAAGCCCCACCTCAAATCATCGTTCATAAAGGACTTTCGGCCACAAAAATATTTATGAGGGCTCTAAAATCAATTATCAATACCTACAATAAAATTTGAAACTAAAAAAATGATAAAATATGTGGATATGTGAATACTTGTTTTTAAGGTAAAATAAACGGTTTATTGTTATAATATATACCTTTTTTAGAGCAATAAATCCTTTTTTATTTTTACAACCATAATGCTCAAGTTGAGATGACCAATTTAAAGGTTTTTCAATGCTTGACTTGTAATTTTCGATGAGTTATGAGGTGAGGATTTACTTATTTTGATAAGGCTGCAGCCCTATTTAACCATTTTCCTTTAGGTATTAATTAAATTACGACCTTACAAACTTCATTTGACTACGTTGTATGCTACATACAGAGGGTGCTATAAGTTTGGTTAACCAATTCTTTTATTTTATTTTTACTTTTAAATAAAGGATCGCTCAGATAATGCAACAACTCATGAAAGTACAGTATCTTATAGTCGATTAATAAACGATCTATATAAGAGTTAGTTGCTTCTTAATTGAAAGATACCTGCACAAATAGCTAGATACAATCTAAATTCTTTTTACATGATTTCCAATGAAATCATAAAATGTATGCTACATACATAGGGTGCTATAAGTTTGATTAACCAATTACTATTTTTTACTTTTAAATAAAAGAAATAAGAAGGAAAATGAAAATCTATGAGAATATTATTTACCCCTTTGGACATAATTTGAACAAGTTTCTTCAACTATTTCTAATCCCTTGTAGTTTCATATACCACATACATGTAAATAGTGTTTCTTCGGAGCGTCTATGGAAAGTTTACCATCCAGGATTGGATAGGACACTACGGAGTTTGGTATGGTTAAAACCGTTCAAATCACCAATCGAATTGGTCGGACTGAAATTTGAGATTAAAAAAGAAGAAAATAAAATAAAAAATATATAAAAATAATAATATATATATATATATAATAATTTTAAAATATAAAATTATCTACTTTAACCCGTTGAAACAGTTGGTCTGATCAAAAATTAATTGTAACGTATTTTCGATCAAATCTAATTTTTACTTCCGACCGCGCAGGTCGAGTCATTCGGTTTGTTCTTTATAACTCTGATCCCAAAAAAAGGTCTCATGCGCATCGTCGTCATCGCGAATGAATACAATAATAATGTCTTATTATGTCAGCTCTCTAAACATCCGTTATGCTACAAGTTTGACAAGGTCCCGCATGCGAATAGCTGACGGTGATCATTCGATTCATCTAAGATGAACGGTTTAGAAGTGAACCTCAGCTGATAATTTTAATGAGATGCATGACGCAGTGCTTATTGAAGTGGGAACGTTGTTATACATGCGTCGGTGAACGTAACTCACTATATTATATACTTTCGCCTCAGTTTATAGCCGTTTTATATTATTTTTAACAATTTTAAAAGTATTCCTAATATTTTAATTTCCGCCTGCAAAAATAATCATGGTATTTTATCTATGGGAAAAATTCAAAGGAGGTTCTATTCAAATGTGGTTCTTTCAAAAATCTGTCTTATAGTTCACATATTCTAAGTGATTTTGTATGTCTTCTGGTTTTAGCTCCAGATTTTGTTGCTAACAAATAGTTCAGGTATGTAGATATGTAAAGAATTAAAAAGAATTATAATGGCTGGCCCAAAAAGAATGTTTAAAATAACTCGTTTTTGAAATTCATAATCATTATTTTTAGATTCATGGTTTTGGTGGTCGAGATTACTAACTTTTAAAATGTAGGAATGTATACTATAATACTACTTATATTTTGGTATAAGGTGGTTACAATAACTCTTACTATCAGATGTATGATTTGACAACTGCTGGTTGAAGAATTTTGTGAGAGAGAGGACCTCATTGAGAAAATAATTATGCCCCACACTAATCTTGTGGT